ACAGAAGTGCTTATTTGTTTTGATCTATTTAAATTAACTTACAATTTCTAGAATAGCTTTTGAATTTTATTCTTTCCTGTATGTTGTACTTTAGCTTTACGTTGTATTTTAGCTTTAAAGGTTTTTCTCTCAGCTTCTGCTGGGCTGTAGATGGTGTGAAGGCATGAGTAAAACAAAATAATTCTAATTACAAATTAAGTAGTAAAGGGGCAGCTAGGTGGTGTAGTGGATAGGGCACAGGCCCGGGAGTCAGGAGGACTTGAGTTCAAATCAGACACTTAATAGCTATGTGATCCTGGGCAATCACTTAACCCAGACTGCCTTCCCACTCTCCCCCCCTCCCCCACCCCAGGAAATAAGCAGAAAAGGTATTAATATTAATGTAAAATTAAAAACAAGGTCTGCTAAGAATAAGTCAAAATAAATATCCACTTCAGATCAGAAGGATCTTACTATCATTACAAAGAGTGAAAATACTATCCATTGGAAGTATGTATTTCTTTATTTTCACCCAAAAGTTAAGCTTTAACGAAGAACATTCTTTGTACATAGGCTCACAGATTTATAGCTGGACAAGAGACCTTAAAGTTCATTCTAATAAATAAAACTGCTGCTCAGGGTGAATAGAATGATTCTAACTTACAACAGCGAGAGGACAAAATTCCTCAATTCTTTTTTGTTTCCATTTTTCTTTGCTTTTGGATTGGAAAACAAAATAATGATAGCTAATAGGGAACTGATACCCAATATGAATAAGGTGATAGTAAGAGAACATTCAGGTGCCCTAAATAAAATCAAGGTACCTGGCCACAAGGAATTATATATTCAAGAACTGAAAGAATAGGCAGATGTGACTGCCACTGCCAATAATATCTGAAATAAAGATGGTGGAGAATGAGATATATATACAAGACTGGAGCTGGGCAAATATTCTCAGTTTTCATAAAGGGAAGAGAAGAGAAGAAAGTCTGCAAACAGTAAACTTAAATTTGATTTCTGGCAAAATCCTAGAATATTATTATTAAAAAAAAAGATGAATAGTGAACATGAAAGCAATGATTACAAACAGCAGTACTGTTTCATTAAGAATAGGTCTAGGGACAGCTAGGTTGCGCAATGGATAGAGCACCGGCCCTGGATTCAGGAAGACCCAAGTTCAAATCCAGCCTCAGACACACAACACTTACTAGCTGTGTAACCCTGGGCGAGTCACTTAACCCCATTGCCTAACCAAAGAAAAGAAAAACAATAGGTCTAGTCAAACTAGCTTTGTTCCCTTTTTTAAAACAGTGTTACTAAACTGGTAAAGGAAATGTTGTAGATAATTTATCTAAATTTTAATAAACCATTTGATAGTCTCTCATGCTATTCTGGTAGAAAAAATGTACAAATGCAGGCTAGATGACAGTATAATTAGATGGATTCAGAACAGTCAAATGACTGGACGTAAAGAACAGACATTAATAGTTAGATTTCAACTTGAAAAGAGGTCTCCAATGGAATGCTTGGCATTGTGATGTTTTTCATTTTTAACAATGACTTGAATAATAGCATAGATGGCACATTTATCAAATTTATATACAGCAAGTTAACACTCTGGATGCCAGTATCAAAATCCAAGACAGGCTTGGAGTTTGGGCTGAAAGTAACAAAATGAAATTTAATAGGGACAAACATGTTTTACACTTGTGTTCAAAGAAAATGACTTTATAAGTATAAGATGAGAGAGGTATGCTAGATAGTAACATGCCTGAAAAAAAAAATCTAAGGATTTTAGTAGACCACAGGCTTAATGAGTCAACAGTGTAATATGGCATCCAAAAACATTTAATGTAATTTTGGATTGCATTTACAGAGGTATTGTTGTTGCTGCTCAGCTGTTTTCAGTAGTGTCCTACTCTTCGTGATCCTATTTGGGATTTTTTTTTTTTGACTAGGCAGTGGGGTTAAATGACTTGCCCAGGGTCACACAGCTAGTAAGTGTTATGTGTCTGAGGCCGGATTTGAACTCAGGTCCTCCTGAATCCAGGGCTAGTACTCTATCCGCTGTGACACCTAGCTGCCCCAATTTGGGATTTTCTTGGCAAAGATACTGGAGAGGTTTTTACATAAGCAAAATTTTACGTAAGCAATATTTTACATGAGAAAATTTTTACATAAAGCAATATTTTACATAAGCAAAAATTAAAATGTAATCTTTTAAATTACGCATAAGTACTCTCAACAGATTGCTTAAATGAAGAGTACTAACCTGTTCTGTAATTCCGTTTAATTAAGGCTCTGCATTAATATTTTACAGAAAACAAAAAGAGAAAGGGTAACTTTATAAGTAACTACAGGAATCTTAACCACAAGAAAATGGTAAAAAAGGCTTTTAAATAGGATTGATGTTATTTGTTTAAGACATGAACATTTTATATTTGTCAAAACTTTAAAATGTTTTGCTAAAAGCAAATTTAATATTCTGAATAGGTAAACTATGACTTAGATAACAAACTTTATAGGTTCCTCCATTATCTATATTTCAATTGTGTCATTAAATAGCACTCTATATATATAACATATGTACATATATCTTAAGGAACTTAAAATCTTGATGAGTAGAGAAAATATTAATACACAAATAAAATGTTTAAATAGAAATACAAAGCAGAATATGGCTACAGATGTGCTTGTAAAAGAGGAACGCAATTACCAATTGAGACAAATGTAATATATAAGTACATGTAAAAACATGCATTTTAAATCAACTGAACTGGAGAAGTCTTTATTAAGTACTATTATGTAGCATTTAGCACAGTGCCTGCCAAAAAGCAGGGATTTAATAAATGCTTACTTACTATGTATGAGGCACTTAGTTTATGAAGAAATAATGAAATAGTCATCAATGTGATTAAAAAAAGAAAACATATAATTGCTTCCCAAAAGATATTTTTTCAAGATTACAATTTATCTCCCAGGAGATGAAATGCAAAATTAACTATGGGACTGATAAAATTTAATTTAATGACAAGTCTGACATTTTCTGAATACCTCCAAAAATTCTGAACTGAGGCATTTTATTCTGACCCATATCCTAAGGAATTCTTGGCCAAATTTAAATATTAACATAGACTTTGGCTAATATAATTTACTATAACAAGAAACCAGTTATGTGTGCTATTGAAAATAACATACAATAAAATTAACACTATGCCTTATCTGAATAAAACTAAAATTTAGTACACAGTAGCAATAGCTTCCTCTGATGATAATGACCACTTTTTTCCCCCTAAAATGAATATTCCCATTCTACAATTATAAAAATGTCATCATTAAGTGGAAAGAGTACTGAACTAGAACTCAAAGGATGTGGGGCTGAGTCTTGGTTCTGCCATATTTTAGCTGCATGACCTTGAGAAAGTGACTTAACCTAAGTCTAACTTTCTTACCTATAAAATGAAATGAATAATAATTGTTCCATCCATCTCTCATAGAAATAGTATGGTCTAATGAATAGAGACTCAGCTTCAAGCCAGGAAGATTTAGGCTCAACTCTCACAACTGATACATACTGGGCAAGTCACAACTTCTCAGTGCTCATGGCAACTCTTTTAGACTTTAAGTTGCAGTAAAGTGATTACCGGCACTATCCTAATGAAATCACACGTCTAGTCCTTATCCCAACACGCGTTGTAAAGAGTGCAAATAAGCAGTTAGTAAGCAAAATGCAAGGCATTATTCTGAAAAGTCCTTTGTAAATTATAAACACCATACAAATGTCAGCTATGATTATTATAATCATTAGTTACAGCAGAGGTGTCTATGGCTCAGGAAACTCCTGAGTAGGGCCCGAACTAGATTAAAATGTAATTGGGAAATGTTTAAGAAAATAAACAAAAAATATAATACAACAGACACAGTGTTAATTTGTGGTTTTCTAAGTCAGTATGCGGCCCTCAGGGATTTATTTCTATTTTGGAGTTCAACAACACTAAGTTACAGCTTCTAAACAGTCCAGAAATAATACATTGGGGCCGTTTATCAATCTAATCTATTATTTTGATGGAGCCTCTCTGTAGGGGGAGTCCCTCCAATGATGCAGGTCACAAACTACACTGTTCTGGTCCAGATCTCTTCATAACACCTATGCAGACAACCTAGTAAATGTGCAGGAGGCCTTCCTCTATTTGATGACTTCAGGAGTATGAAGGTAGCATTCAGACTGTCTTTTAGTTGCCACTCTCACTAGATGACCACCACACAGGTCCTACATAGACACTCGGATCCTGTCTCTTTTATAGTTTCAAATTACTCTGGGTATTTATACTGCCTGTAAGTCATCAAGTGTGAGTTACAAATAACTTGAAATCACCCAGAGATGTGAAAAATGAGAATGAAGAAAAATTCAATTATAAGAAAATCTAGCATTAAGAGTCAGTGACATGTGGTGGCAGCATGGAATAGCAACTTTGCTAGACTTTGTATTTCAGAGCTCTATGTGTGAATGAGACATTTCCGGGCCTTTCATATTAAATGTTTTATAGCAGCTCACAAGCAGTGAACAAGCCATTTGGTCCTCATGGACACAAGTATTTCATTTCTTCTGCTGAGATTGTTGTGTCTAGAACTTAGCACTTTCAAATCTATAAATACCAGCATTTAGAATCTAAAAGCTAACATCCAACTATACACAAATTACTCTCAAAATGAGATCTCCTAAAAAACAAAATAAGTTGATTTGTTGAAATGAGTATCTACTTAATAAAGCTTTACCTGGAAAACTAACCAAAAAAAATTAACATGACATATTTTTGCTTGAGATTTATTATCCTGAGGAAAAATATATTTCAGTCATGACAATGACCAAGTGGAAGTCTTATATATGTTATGGTTCTCATTTTTTAAAAAGAAAATAAAATTGAAGAAACTGGTCTGCATGCTTGAGTAAATTAGGTTCTAGAGGCAGATTTTCCAAGCTGAACTCTCTCTATTAACAACAACTACAATCAAAGACTTACCTCTGGTTTGGGAACAAAAGCTCGTCCTGGAATCGTAAAGGAATGCTGAACCTTGCAGAGATACTGGGCCATGATGGAAAGTCGACTTCGTTGTTTGCTTCCTGTATTGGCAGTCAGTCTCTAAGAAAAAAAGTGGCTGCCATGTTAGTACAAAATTAAATAAATCAGACAAAATAGAATAAAAGCTTGCTCATTTACGTATACTTTGTGGAAAATTGATGGCCAATTTGAAAAAAATAAAGTTTTTTAATAATAAAAAATTAAAAGCTTTTTAATAATAGTTAGCATTTATGCAGTTCTTTGAGGTTTGAAAATCACTTTACAAATAGTATCTCATTTTATCCTCACAACTACCCTGGGAATGGTGGGAATAGGTGTTATTATGATCTCCCTTTTACATGAGAAAACTGAAGTAGAAGAGGTTGTGATTTGCTCAGAATCACATAGCTAGTATGTGTCTGAGACTGGATTTGAACTCAGGTCTGTCTCTCTGACTCCAGGTCCAGTGCGCTACCTAGATGTCCAAATGCTTAATGAGTGATTACGCTTCTGACAATAATGACTTACCTTCTTTGACGAATAGCCTCTCTCCCTTGGCTTCTGTAAAACTAATCTTTCTTGGTTCTCCTCCTACCTATCTGATCATTCTTTCTTAGGCCCGTTTGTTATATTCGCATCCACCTAATAACCACTAACTAAGGCTCTGTCCTGGACCATTCATTTCCTTTCCCTTTCTGTGTGCCCATGACCTCTAATCTATTGCATATATGTAAATTCAGTCTAATTTAACAGCATGACACTGCAGTAAAAAAAAAAAATGCTGACCAAAAATAATAAAAAAAAATACCCTCACTATAACAAAAAAAACAAGAAAAGTATATACACCAATATAAAGGAAAAATATGTTAACATAATAAAAGTACATTTTGTGCAAGGAATAAGAATAAAGAACCAACAATTATACATAAATACAGATAGAGAGAGAGAAAAGAGAGATATCGATATCTATATATACACACACACACATATATACACAAAGATACACATACATATGTGTATGAACACATATGTGTATGTGTATCTCCCTATATATGAATACATTAATGTATTGTCATTGATTTTTCAAGGTACTTGGTATTAATATTGGTTTTATAGAATTCTCTTTAACAATAAATTAAGAAAAACATGTCTATCATAGACCCATGAAGCAGAAAAACACACATCTAAAATTCAAAAAGTACAAATAAAATGTAAGTTTTAAAACTTCTTAGCATATCCCGTGATGGAAATTAAAGACTAAATCAGCTAGAGTTAAACAATATCAGAGCTGCAAGGGCCCTTGAGTCACTTCAGCCTAACCTAGATCTGAGGATTCTCCCTTAAAACATACTCAAGTAAATAGTTACCTACTTGAGGACCTTCAGTGATGAGCTCTCTCAAGGAAGCCCACTCCATTTATGGGCAGTTCTCTTGTTATGTTTTTCCTTGTTCTGAGTCAAAATCCGCTAATCTATCATTTCTCCCTACTATTCTAAGTTCTATTCTTTGGAACCAAGGAAAATAAATTAATCCTTCTACATGACAGAACTTAAAAATACCTTAAGTACAGTTCTTTACAAACCCTCAGTCTTTCCTTCTTCAGGCTAAATACCCCCATTTCCTTTGAAAGGTGCCCCTATGGCCTACTGCCCAATCTCCTCACTATCTCAGCCATCTTCTTTCAAATGTTCTGCAACCTGCCAAAGCCCTTCCTAAAATGTGGTGCCTGCAACTGAACACAATGCTCCATGTAAAAATCTTTGCTACATTCTCATCCACCATTTCTCCTCTTATGAACGTCATGCTTCTATTAACATTAGGTTAGGTTTTTTTCGCTATCATGTCACACTGTTAAATCAGACTGAATTTACACCGTACACTAAAACAACCAAGTCTTTATTATATGAATTACATGAATATGTTGTTTAACTATGCCTCATCATTCCAGTACTTGTAAAGCTAATTTTTTAAGATCCAAATTTTGGACTTTATACATATTTCTACTTAATTTCATTGTATTCAATTTGGCCTATTGCTTCAGCCTTTAGGATTATTTTTGAATCCCTATTCTATTATAAAGTATATTAGTTATCCATCCCAGTTGAGTGTCATCTTCAAATCTTATAAGCATAAATTCATCTGAATCACTAATGAAAATGAATAGAATGGGACTGAGGATAGAATTCTTTAACAAAAAATAAAATCGTATCCCCCAAACAGATGGCTGCATATTTTCCAAATAATATCCTATCCTGGATTTTTTTTCATGAAATCTATATAGTATTTTATATAGTATATGTAAAATATATTCCTCTGTTCACACTAGCCCAGCACACATTATCTATTATGTGAATGATAATCTTTCCTCTAGAGACCTTAAAAGGCCTGAAGAGTTTAACTATATCTCTTTAAACAACATAATTATTTCAAGTTAATCTAAAGACATATCATTCCAGTTTAACAGAAAGTGGTATAAATATTTATTCCAATTTATTAGAGAAAGAAATGGAGACATGAGAGTAATAAAGTGCTTTGTACAAGATTTCATAGATTCAGTGTCCGAGGACGATGTCCTATTCACTAGTCACAGCTATTTCTGTGGTTAGTAAGTCATATGTGAAGCTACACAAACTTAAAGGCCTTCTTCTATGGATAAATTATCATAACAACAAAAGGTCAGCACACCAAACTGTTTAATTTTAAGTACAAGGAAACTTCTGACACCTCAACTTAGAGCAGTATATCTAAGTATGAAAAAATAAGGAGCTAGAGAATTCAAAGACAATATTATTTCTTCTCTGCAACCACTACAATAATTTTAACATGAATAAGATTTACTCTTGAAGAGCTGTAGCAGTTAGGTATCAGAGACAATGGATCTCATCTTCTGGTTCTTCATTCTTCACAAATGGCCAAAGGCGTCAAATAATTTTATAGTTATTTGTCTATGTACTATCTTCACAACTCCTTAATAGACTGCAAAATTTATGAAGACAGGGACCATGTTTTAATTAAATGTCACAGGGTACCTCGAACTGATTACAGTCTTCTGTAGACAGTAGGCACTTAATAAATACTGTTAAACTGGAAAATCATGGCTTTACTGGGAGTCATGCATGCCAGTTCTGGCCCCAGCTCTGCCACTAGTAGTTAGTTATTTGGCAATTAATTAAACTTCTGTTCACCTGTTTTCTCATCTATAACACAAAGGGTAGAACATATTAACATCCCTTTTGGATACAAAATTCTCTGATTCTAGTACATAATCTGTCACTGTACAGATGACTGCATGTCCTTTAGTAAGCATGTTTCTCAGTATTTCCTACATTTAAATTTTATACAAAGAACAAAGAAGGGCTCTATTTATCTTGCGTTGTAAGGTGACCAAAACAATTCTATACATAAGTAATACAAATAATCCCTAGCATTTGCATGCAGCTTATATAAAATTCTCAGACGACACATGACTCTCAAATGAGTGCTAAGCTCTCTAACGCAGAAAATGTACACCTATGGTATATGTGTTAGGTCTAAAATAAGGATCAGCTACCCAACAATGTCTGCATCTCATATTGGGGTTTGTAATTACTTGGACAGGGATTGGGACTGAAGTTTTCCTTTGTTCTATCTAGAAAGATGTGACTACAAAGAATAAGAAAAAGCTCAGTGTAACCTCTAATTCAGGGCTTCTTAATCCGTGGTCCATGGATAGAGTTGAAGGGATCCACGAATTTGAATGGGAAAAAAAATGTTACATCTTTATTTTTGCTAACCTTTGACTGTTGGTTTCCTCTGTATGTATTTTATGTACTCATAGACATTATCTGAGAAGGAGTCCATAAGCTTCACCAGACTGCCCAAGGGGTCAATGACACAAAGTTGATAACTTCTGATCTAAATAAACCTACCTGATCTAAGAGATTAGAAATTTCATCTACAAAAAATGATTGGAAGAAAAGTACACTGATAAGAAAGCATGAAATCATGAGATCATTTGAACCTAAAGAAATACAGTCATGAGTCTTGTAAATGGGATTGTGCATTCCCATAGTCTTATTTGTTATCAAAATAAAGCATCATGTTGAAAAAAAAAAAAAAAAGATGTGACTAAACAAATAAACTTCATAAACAAGGTCACAACAGTCATAGAACTCTAAACTACTGTGATGCAGTATGGAGTATATGCAAATAACTGGTCAACTACAAATTATTTTTATTTATTATTGACAGAGATCCCTAAGGACCTCTAGTTACATTTTTGTTAGCTTTAGTTGAATAAGCAAAATAAACCCATATCTCTTTTAAAAAACATTTTATAAATTAGACTTTTCTAATACTATCATCCCCAATAAGACTCATCATGGTTTTGTGGCAATTATTTCCTTATATTTCTTAGCAGGTTTTATTGATAAAATTATTAGGTTATTTGTCCTCAGAGACCTGGCACTAGGTTTGTTACAATTAAAGCACGTATACTATGGGGCTTCATACAAAAAAAAAAGACCTGGGATGGAATCCTGTTTCTGCCACATGCTACTTGTGTGATATAGTATAATTTATTTAACCTCTTTGGGTCTTAATTTCCTCATCTATAAAAATTAGGATCTAGGTTATCCCTGAGGTTTCTTTCAGCTCTAAATCCTATGATCCCAAGACTTCAAAAGCATAGTTTAAATCCATCCAAAACTTCACAATCTTCTTGAGTTGTTGTGACCAAAAAATGTCATTAGTTGATGGCCAACCTTCTGCTGAGGACCTACTCTGAACTTAATTAGACTGAGCTTTAGCTAACAGGCACACAGTCTATCACTAAGCCCATACATAAAACCATTCCAGCTTAGGAGGATCCATCAGAATGTATGCGATATGTTGGCACCACCCATAAAAACCAAGGGTCATCTGGATGTCATGCTCATGCATCAAAATAGCAATTCCATAGAAGGTAACATTTAGAGGAAAATGATAGTTTAGCAACTTCATGGAGAAAATTCACTACAAAATTTTGCAAAAAATGCATATGACTTTCAGTTAAAAGGTACATATTGTTAAAAACATGTTTTTAGGTTAGAAAACATTATGTG